TGGGGGGGGGGGGGGGGGGGGGTACTTGCACACCTTAGTTTTTTAGACCATTGACCACGCGTCCTCGAGAGGACGGAGCACTGCTGTTCGAAAAGGATCGATCACCGATGGCCAATCGTTCCTTCCTACAACTGTGCCAAAGTGGGGGGCAGTTGTAGCAAACAATGACCGGGCCACGGCAAAGGGGTGGCCGCAAATTTGACAGATACCTACGCCTTTTGCGGGGTGACTTGAACATGTATCCGAGAGGAAAACAATCGGTAAGGTGTCCCTTGCCACTCGCTTCTCTCAGTTGCAGCAGTAGCGCGAGAGGGACGTTCCCGACCCTCAAAATCTCAACCTACATGTACTACATTTCGTTTCATGCACGGGGCATCCCGCACTTGGTTCACCGCAGGTTCCGGGTGGCCGTGATATCTTCTCTGGTGGGCGGGCGCCGGCCGTATCCTGGCCTAACCTACAGCAGTAGCGGCTTACGCTGCCAAAACAAAACTGATGGCACTAGAAAGACACACACACGAAAATCCAACACCGGCCGTCCTCTGTGCCCCATTGGGACGTGTCAAACGCGAGTCAAGCCGGCGAGAAGAACAGTCACGATTGAGGGACGGCACCTGCGGATCTGGGTTGGATCTGACGTGCTCCTACAAGCTGGTTTTCGCAAGCGCAGTCTAGGGCAAGCAGCGGCGATGCTAGCAGCAGCAGCAGCAGCAGCAGCAGCAGCAGCAAGAAGAATCGCAAGCACGTGCTTCCTAAATAGACAGTCGCGGCCGAGAGTGATACTACAATAAGAGACCAGAGACAAGAACAAACAAAAAAAAATGTTGGAACAAATAACTCACCAAGCCCAGGTAGGCCAACGCCTCCAAGCACATGTAACAAATCCCTCGTCCCGCCACGTCCCACGCGAGGACACCCCCCTCCCGATCCATACCCATCACCTCTCGCACGTAGAACTCAGACGACACCTGCGCGCAAAGCAAGTGCATCGCAGCGTACATGTAGACATCGATTCGGCGAGGTGTGTTTCGATCGCGCCGCATCGCAATCAGACATGATAAACAAGAATAAGACAGCACTCCTTCTGCGTCGTGAAAAATCACTTCGTGGAAGCAAAAGACGCCAGACATGTCACCTTCCACGAAAAGAGGGAATCACCCCCAACTGACGTTGGGGGAGATGCAAAAATGTGTATGTTCCTCCCTATCTATTATGGCGCCAGTCTACACACGGTTTTCGGTTTGTAGGTTTGACGTATCAGCCGGCGTCACACGTGAGGAAGGTGGGGGAATCATAGACGTCACCCCCGCATGCAGAGCTAGCTAAATTACAACGTCTGGCCGAGTCTCTCCGGCGTCAGCACGCCATGACCGGTAAGTCGTGCGGCATACGAGCTCGACTGCAGAAAGCGCTCGGGAGGGTGAAGCAGCATCAAACACGCTGGCCAGCGTTCCCACAGACTCTCCAGGCGAAGCACACACGCGATATGGAAACCCTGGAAGCCCCAGGGGAGTGGGGGGTGGTCGTTCTCTAACCGCTTGCCGACATCTCCGACGTATCTCAGCACACTCGTCACCTTCAAGAGTAATGGAGCCATGTCCCCACCACCAATAAAAAAACTACCAACATGGGGGGGGGGGGTTGAGGGGGGCGAAGCCGAAAGCCAGGGGGTACAGCAGTAGTACCCTCGAGGATAACCTCAAGAGACGACCAATAGAATGCTGCTAAAGTTGATGGAAGAACTGCGTGGCGAGCGAGAGAGTGTTTTTACCCGGATTAGACCGTCCCCAAGGAGGTACGGCGGGAAGAGCCGGAAGATGTGCTGCGCCTTCGCCGCGAACTTGACGGTCCTCTTCAGGGTCGACTGCGGCAGCCCGAAAAAAAAATAAGAAAAAAACGCGGGGGGACGGAGAAAAAACGGTCAACCAATCATGCCACACAAGAAAAAGTGCGGTCAAAATACAGAACGATATACAGGGGGTTAGCGATCGAGTCATTGCGGAGCGCCGTTTTAAGGGATGAGCCAAGTCGCCTCACAAAGTAGTCTACGCAGCAAAATTGACTAAGCAAACATATGGGATAAAGTATTGAATCCGTGCTTCGGGGTTAGGGTTAGGGTGAGGGATGCGGTCTGCGTGCCCCCTCTCTATTCTCTTTCATGTACAGTAGATACTATTAAAATCCTGCGTGGGCGGTCCCACAATCCTTAACCTCCTCACCAGCACCGCGTAGGCGACCACGAAGCCGAAGCCGGACAGAAAGTTAACCCCGGCGATCGAGATCTGCGCCGCCGAGGGCCCGTCGAACGCGAACGAGTAGAGGTAGGACAGCGGCAGTGAGGAGAGGCCGTACGACAGGAGGAGCCCCCAGGTGCCGAGGAGGGCGTCCCAGCGCATCATGAACACCTGGGAGTTTTTCAGCACCATCCAAACGCGGAAAGGGGAGCGGCGTGCTCATGTTTCGTACATGCCATAGCGGTTAGACCATTGACGACGCGTCCTGGAGAGGACAGAGGGGGGAGGGGAGGTCGCTATGATGCTTGGCACGTGGGGCTGACGAACGCCATACTGGGCGATTGTCCGAAGCGGGTCGGGGAGGGGGAGGTCTGGCCCTTTAGAAGAGTGCGTTGGTGCAATTTGAGGGGAAGGCTCATGGCGACAACGAAAAGCCATTCCTGCGATCCATGATGATCGAAGCTATTCAGTCGAGATAGGCAAGACCTCCGATGAATGATGATATCAAACACACGCCCAATACTGGAAGCACATACATACGCAGCAGGTAGGTCGTGCCCGGTATGAACACATCACGATCGCCAATCTCTATCCCCACGGGCTTGACACGGAACAAGTAGCGATACTGGAGAACATACCTTGGAGGCGTCTTTGCCGTAAGCGGCGAAGGTGAGCATCACCAACACGGTCAGCACGAAAAACAGGAGCGCGTCCCACAGGTAGGTCGACGCCCAGTACGCCAAAGGGCTCGCCCCCGAAACGAGCTGCACCTGCAGTCACATGTCACATTGTTGTTGTTGTTGTGATTGCTACGGCAATTTCTTGTTTTCCTGTGTTAGTGTTGGGCTGACGATAACAAGTACGCGGACAACGAAGTCCCCACGTTCGAGCAACCACAAGCAATAGCAGTTCGTGTGGGTCTACTATTGAAGAAAATCAGGCAGGTAACCAGTCCAAATCAGGTACACTTCCATCGAAGTGCCCACATTCAACAAACCAGCACAAGAACAGTTGAGAATTGGCTGCCTCAGAAGAAAAGCAGGCAGGTAACCAGTCCAAATCAGGTACACTTCCATCTAAATCCCCACATTCAACAAACCACAAACAACATGGGCATTGGCTAGGCGGAGACAGGAACACATACATACCCGCTTGCTCTTGCAGGCCCTCTCCCGGACGAGGAAGGTGACGAAGGCAGCGGGGGCGTAGCACAGCGGGATCGTCACCAGGAGGCTCACCAAAAGCGAGAGCATCGTCTGTACTTCCAGCGACTGCAACGGGCCGGGACAACAAAAAAAGGTAGAGGGAGAGAGAGAGCGGCGTCAGGATACCGGGTCAAGGCAGATGGTGGCAGTTGGTGAGAACCTTCTGCACCTCTGCGGTGATTGGACGGAACGAGGAAGCGCAAACAAATTGAGAACATGACATAAATGTTTTCATCAGGACATGAAATTGAATCACGTTCAGGTCGCCATGTTGAAGACGGAGGTTGATGTCGATAAGAATGTCCGCATTCAACAGCTTTGTCTGTACCTCCATCGAGCGATACATACAGAGTACCTCTGTCAAAATATGGTGAGACACAGACAGACACAGAGGTATAATTGATTTCGAGTTTCCTATCCTGCAGCTGTGCACAACACCGCCATCGGCCCAAAACTGGTGTACAGCAGGACAAGGCGCATCGAGACCGCGACGAAAACGCCCATCTTGCCGTCGTCACTGGCATGTATGTACTTTTTAGCGTTGAGTGCCGCGTTCTCTGTTTTTCTTTCTGAAACAAAACAAACTCATCTACATAGGCACATGAAGAGTGTCCCTTCCTTGACAACTCGACGTGAGCGTTTTCTCGATCGACGTGAACGAATCCAACATTTTTTCTGCCAGAGAAGACGTCCACGGCACACACCGCACACCAGACTCACTCCTGTCCCAGTGCGTCAAACTCACACCGAAAGGCCCTGTAGACTGGCGCCCAGGCAACATGGGACCAAAAGAAAGCAAGCGAAAACAATTCATTCAGAGGAAAATCTTGCTTATCTCGTATTTACCTCGGTCGCGGTAAGCGGAAGTGGGTGACTCCTGACAGTGTACGAGGCTTGTCCCCCTTCCAGGCCTCTGTTCGTGGCACAGGCCTGGAATGTCCTGGCGGTGAGCTCTCCGACCCAAGCGGGGAGGGCGTGAGGGCTGCCAGACAGACCGCAATGTGAATGTTGGGGAGGGGGGGGGGGGGATGGGGATCTCGCGGGAAACAAGCAGACTCCACCCGCATATATGGAACTTACTTCTAAACATAAAATGTGGCACGCGGTTCTCTTCTGCGAGTGGTGAACCGGTTCGCACGTCGTGACGGGTGACTTCCGGGCTGTTCCGTCATGTGGTGGCGTTTGACGTTAGGTCCGCGGTGTAAGGTGGTATGTTCGAGGGGTCTACGTTGTCGTGATACCGGCTGGAGTTCCACTAATACACGCGCGTGGCAACTCGAGCAACCCACAAAAGCGCCTAAGATTTACCGTTTAAATAGCTGGAACTTCGAGTCCATCCCGTGTCACTCGTGTGCCAAACAGGTCAGGAATTCCCCACTCGCCGTCCTCCACACCACCCAGAAAGGGCCCACGTTATCGTCAAAATGGCGGAATTCCACATCCATCCCGTATCACTCGAAGAACCACCAAGGGCCTCTACTTTCTTTGTCGTGTATCGGAACGGGTTGGAATTGCTCATCCCCGGTCTCTCGAGTCAAATCACCAAAACGGGGAGCGAGCCATCACGTGATTCAACACGAGCCAACCGGTGATTCGAAACACGACGGAAGAAATGAATCAGCCTGAAGTAACATTCAACACGACTGAAATCGCTCAAAACAACCAAAACCATTTAGATCACGCCGCATCCCTCTTGCCAGCCCAAAAAAGAATCTAGCCAAGCGTCTTCTTGCTGATGTTCATTTTCTTTTTCTTTTTATTTCCTTTTGTTTAAGAAAGAAGACCCGTTCGACCTACATCTACGGTCGAATTGGGATGGGTTGGAAGTCACAACAGTAAAAAGGGGAAACTTTGTCAGATCAATCAACTCACGCGGTGCTGTTGAACATAACCGTGGTGAGGATGCGGTTAGGCTGCAGCACCCCCTGATCGTAGCGGACGGTCCCTGGGGGAAGAGCGGTGAGCACGTCATCCACGCTCAGCTTCACCTCTCCTAGCTCTAGGTCCTGCGTCTGGTTGTCGACCCTCACAGAGAGGACGACTCCGTCCAGCTTGAGCTGTGTATTGTCGGTATTTTGGTTTGTTGAGGGCGGATTGAACCCGCGGTTTCAGGAAAGAGGAAGACGGAGGGTGTGGGGGAAAGGGGGAAAATATAAATAAAACGACAGGCGAGAATGAACATTTTGTAGGAAGTCGGCGGAAACTCCGAAGATCGTTCCCCGCCTTCTTTCCGCGTACTACAGTACTCACACCGGCGACAGTGTCTCCACCTCCATACGTGGGCAAAAAAGTGGGGGAGCGGCGAAAAAAACAGCGGGAGGGGGGGGCTACTTGCCACCACTGTGTAGAGGCAAAGCCTCATAAATTCGCTACGGACCCCCAGCATCGACGAACCTTTGTTCCTGATAGACGTTATTTTGGCACGGCCATGACCGAAACGCATCTGCGTCAAACTCGTGAGTGTTTCTCGTGCAGCTATATCACGGTAGTAGGTACGAATTGGACCCGGGTTGCTGGCTCGCGGCCACCATGCGTTTAGCGCTCTACGTACGCATCGAGCTACAACAACAAATAAAAGGACACCGCGAGCCGTGCATATATACAACAGAACAGAACAGAGGGCACCGTGTGCCATGAACACAGCACTCTTTGCTCCACCCCGCTAACGCCGAAAACAATCTCCCAAACACAACAACCTGAGAAAGAGGCCAAGAAAAAAAGCCGCGTGTTCCTGTTCGACCAAAAACAGCAAAATGGCTATCTCTTCTCGTCCCCTCCCACCATGTTCTCGGAACCGGCGTTATCCTGGCAGGGGGGCCCCGTGAATCGAACCGGAAAAACGGCCCTCACCTGCGAGGACTGAGGCAGGTACTCCGCCTCCGTGAAGCGAACCGTTGGGTCCTCGTCCACCAGGACAAGCCACTCGTTGGTCCAGTTCCTGCCCCTGGCCCACGCCAGCGCGTCCTCGAGAGCTTTGCTGGTGTTAGTGTTGCCGGCGCCTGGTAGGAGGGCCTCCACGGCCTGCGGGAAAGTCCAATTTGCGGGGGGGGACAGACGCGGCGCAATTAAATGCATCGCCAAGTGCTGAATGGTCTGTTCAGTTAACTATTATACCTGGTGTTGGGACAGATAGCTTCAAACCAGATGGGACCGCAACAACAGCAGACGTGTCGGACAGTTTTTCACAGCGGCAAGTTTTGCCGTTTCAACCGCCGTAGATGCATCGGAGTTGCCCCTCACATCTTGGTCTCCTTGGTCGAGTTGATCGAGCCTCCCAGACCCCTCAACAATAAGTCTTGCGAGATCCTTCTCGTCCACGCCCGTCGCATCCACCAGCCCCTGTAGTCGATTGACGACGCCATGCCGTGTCAAAAACGTCGCGTAAGGCAGAACAAGAGAGTGTCGAGATCGGCAATTTCGCCTTGAGCTATGCATACTTCACCACAAGAGTTGACTCGGTACGGGGCAACAAAAAGGTCTAAGAATGTGTAACGCCCCAATGGGTTTGCGCGTGGCATTTATTCAGAATAATGGCAAGATTGTGTTTCCGACAGGAGCAGCAGCAACAACCGTTTCTAACAGAACCTTCTTGCACCCCCCGTTCTCGCCTACACGACATCTCCGCCGAAACGACCATCTCCGAAAAAAGCGAAACATGTGCCCAAATAGGAGATTCCTAGAAAAATAACATCGCAGCTAAAAAACGCCCGTCACTTCTCGGCTCTCCATGTTCGAGCTCTCGCGCAAGATGCGTGTCGCACCTCTCGCGATCAAACAATGCATGTCACACCTCTCGCGATCAACACACACGCCACAGCAGGGTTGGTTGGACAAACACGCTCGAACCTGGAGATCGAACTCCCCGCCCTCCGCCGGAATGACGTCATCGCCGACGATCTCCAACGCCGACGCCAGCATCTCCGGGTTCTCCCGAAAGCTGTCCCAGTCCACCGTCAAGTTCACCGGGATGCGGTCTCCGAAAACGAAGGCGCCGTAGCGAGGGGGGCGGCCGCCGCCGCCGCCGCCGCCGTCCAACGGCGTTGTTGCTGCTGCTTCATCAGAGGTGTCGGTTTCAACGGACACGTCGACGTGATCCCCATCATTCGAGGAGATCGTGATCATCCCGCCGGTATTGTAGGTTTCGAGCATGAAGCGCGAGAGGCCGGAGCTGGTAGGGGCGGTGAGACCCGCCCCTGTTAAAAAGGAAGCGAGAATGGGGTAAAGAGAGTAGGTCGTTCCGAAGGTTCGAAGACGTGAGAGTGGCAAGGGTAGAGGTGGGAGATTCGGGTACCCACCAAACAAAGAAGGCAGTGTGACTGGTCGCCATGCAGCTGTTTCATCGTCTGCCATGCCGACATACACAGCGAAAAAATAAACTACATAGGCGGCGTGCCTTTCTCTCGACGTTGGAGCAGCGCTGGCAAACTACGGTATACATGTGACAGAGGACAAAGGGTTCGGCTGCTCGGAAACCTAAACCCCGAAACGAACCCCCCCTTCCGACGAGAAAACATGCGTTCTGTAGTGAATGTTTTCCGGCCGACACCACCGAGTTCTCAGGGTGATGACGTGGATAGGCTAAACTAAGTCAAGCATCTTCCAGCACGTGTCCCTCAACCCTCGTTGTAAACTCTACAGTACACCCTCCCTCTCCTCCCTCTGGGCAATAGCTAGGATGGGCCGTCCTCTCCGCGGTGTGCCGAGCACTTTCTGAAAGCGAGGGAACAGTTTTCCTCAAGGAGATCGATCTACAGACGTGCGCCTTGTACCTCCGTCTACTCGCGTCCAGGCCTCCGTCTCCTCGGCGACGTTGCCAAACGTCTTTCCTTCGGGAAGACCTTCGCCATCGCCTTCGGTGTACAGCACCTGCGTTCGGCGAACCACGTACCGAAATTTAGAAAAGGCAGCGGAGACGCGATTTCGCACACAAGAACCAGAGAGGGCAGGGCATGTTCTCACACTGGGTCCATCCACTCCGAACCATCGTGACGTGTGCGGATGTGTGCGCGTGGTATATGCTAGCGAGTCGCCTTCTTTTTGGTGCTTCTGTCTTTCGTGAAATTCGTCTGTTATGTTTACCTGCTGCACAGAAAGTGAGAGCTGTTGTGACGTGTGGTGTGCAGGTGCGGCACAAGTTGCACGATTCATAAATCTCAGAATTTTAATGGACGCCAAAGGCTTCGTGATATTTAGCACCAGACGATCCAAATCCACTCACTCCCATGGCCACACCGCACGATAAGGGAACAAAACCTTCTCCTCCTGCTATCTTCTCTGCACTCCACCCACCCCGCCCCCCGCTTCTTATCGCCAAATGACTGCGCAGCTTGCGTCAAGCGGGAAACCCATGTTGTTACTACTCTACACCGCGAGCAAAAACAAAGCCCAGAGAGAGACATGCATACACACATACATGGGCATGGCATGGCCTTCTGGGCGACGCCTTTTCTTGGATCTATGCCCATGCCCCCTTCCGGTGGCCTTGATGTCTACCCGCAGACACATCATGTCTTCTCAGTGGTCAGCCGGTTTAGCGTGGTCGATGTATCAAATAATTGCACACACAGACGTGCCGGGGGAGCCCGTTGACTAGAAAGCGTGTTCGCGTGGTCTATATTGCTTGCAAAGATTCGCGTGGTCTCATTGATCAGCTGGACATATATGTAGCGATGCTACTCAAAGGAACACTCAATTCACACCCACACGTGCCACACAACATCCCTGGGAGCCTTCCTTCGCCCGACACCCATTTCGCCGCGGACCCCCCACCCCCCCTCCTCATATCCCGTCACCCCCTTAAAAAAAATATTCAGCCCACCTGGGTAGGACTCCCAAACATCCCAGCGGACATGGCGAGCGGCGGCCCAGCCAGCTTGACGTCGATGGTGAGCAGAACCAGGACGAGGGCAACCATCACGGCGGGCAGGACGATCTGATACAGACCCCCTCGCCAGTCCCGCTGGGCCACCACCCTCCTCTTCCACAGCAGCCAGCGCAGCTGCTCCCTCAGGCCTGCCCCCGCGGCGACCCCCTTACCCCTGCCCTCGCTCCCGGTCGCTGCGCCCCCCTCCCTCCTACCAGCAGACGAGCTGGTCGCCTCGGCTGCCTGTGCCGCCCCACCGCCGCGCGTCGCGCCCGAGGGCGATTCTGCGTCGCCCCCGGGGCCGTCGTCGTCCTCTTGGGCCTCCGCCAGGATGGAGGCGAGCTCCTCCTCGTCGCGGGAGAAGCCTGCGTAGCCAGGGGCGCCTCCTGCCTTGCTCGGTCGATCGTCGTGGTGGTCATTGCCCCCGTCGCCGCTGTGTTTCCCAGCCGGCGGCATCTGCTCGGCCTCCACCGCCGCCGTCGCCGGTGCCATGCTCCGCATCTCGACCTCGCACACCTGTCCCGGTGCCGCGCTCGCCCACCACCCTTTGTTGCCACCGCCGGCAGCGTTCGAGTCTCGCCCGAAGCCTCGCCGTTGCCGAAGGCTCCGCCCTCTGCCGCGGCTGCTGGCGGGTACTCCGCCGCCTGCCGTCCCGGCAACCCCTTCCTCGCGAGTGAAACCGTCGCCGGAGGCGTGTTGTTGTCGCCCACCGTTGCCCTGGGCGGGCTGCTGAGCGTCGGTCATCTTGCCCTCTCTCTCAAGGCTGAGAAAGACCTGATCGGGAGGTGAGACGGGTAGTCGTGAAGACAGGGGCTTTGCTTAGCAAGAACGGATGGATCGGACACGATAAAAAGAATACTTCAACACATCCCCTTCGACCGCAGCATTATCTCGAACGGGTAGTCGTTCTGTGGTTATTTGTCAACTATAAAAAAGACACGCAAAATATCTGTGGTTGTATGTAGCGAAAAAAAAATAAAAAAAAACGAATAGCACAACATTTTACGATGCAATCAGAGAGGTACTTACAACTGACCGCTGTGAAGACCAAAGATCACGAGCGGAAACCGCTCTCTGGTCACTCCCCCAGGCACGGAGCCCCAGAGAGGCGCACCCACCTCTTCCAGGCTGGTGATCGAAACGCCGTAACCCCCGACTCCCATCGCTTCCCTCCCCGCCTCCAGGGCTCGGAACAGACCGGGAAACTTCTGAGATTTTTCTCGGGGCAACCTGAAGGAAATCTCGCCGCCCGCGGCAGAGAGCATCTCGGCGTCTTCGACATGCGAGAGGACCAGACTAGTCAGGCTGTTGGGCTCGAACGATTCTCCGGCCTTGACGAGGGTCAGCTTGTAGCCCAGACCGAACCTGATGTGGAAAATTCATGACAACGTGCGAAAGCGGCAGAGGTTGTTGGCTTGCCCCCCACCGGTTATTTTTTTCTAGGTGCGGGAATGTAGAGTTGCCAAACCTAGAGATGAAGCGTTGTATGGCGTATGGCGCGTGGAGTGTCGGTGTAAGCAGAATACCACTTGAGCAGCAAATTTTCTTGTGACATTTTCAGAGCAAGAGCATCGCCGTCGTAGTTACCGTCCTCCGGGTTTACAAGCCGCTTTGAAAATACTTTACCCTTGCATGTACCCACCACAACAGCGGGAAAAAAAATCAATACCGCCTCGACGCCACACATCAGCCTTGGGAGTCAAGACCAAGCACGGAATACACAAACAAACAAAAATAACAGTAACAAATTTGAACAAGATGCGTTATTAGCATGTCGTTCTTTCTCACCGACTCTTGAGAAACAGAGGGCTCCCAGCGCATCTAAGCTTCCCCTTTCGCAGCATCGCCACCCTGTCCCCGAGGTGATCGGCCTCCTCCATGAAGTGCGTCGAGAGCAAGGTGCACCTACCCGCCCGCCCTCTCCGCAGCAGGTCCCACGTGAAGCGCCTGGAGTATGGGTCCATCCCTGAGGAGCAGCGTGTACAACCACAGCAGTACCCACGATGAGTCGGCAGCTGGCAGTTGTTGTCGAATGTTGTGGACGTCGAAACTCGTGTATTAGAGAGTAGGGAACGAGGGCGTTCAGAGGCCTGGTGATCCCTCATGTCCATTTCCAGCCAAAGTGCAATTGCGAGGCATGGCACAGACACATTATGCTCGTATGCCAGTCCAATCTGCCCTTGGCCACCACCCATTCGTGCGGCACGGGAGCAGCATGGAACATACCCCCGCCATCGGCAACCGAGCACAGTCTCGCTACTCTGAAAAACAAAGGCGCGGTCCCTCCCTCACACAACCTGGGTATAACCCCACACCAGCTTATACACCAGGAACGCGTTGGCCTGTTTTTATCCCGCTACATATCGTTCCGCTCTGGCACTGGCGTGCTTTCATGTTTCCAGCCGGATGGCGCGGTACATGCCTACTAAAGCAGACACCCACACAAAATGTTGACCATCCCGCAGAAAATTACTGACGCAATTTCATTGGTCCAGCCGGTTAACATGGTCGATGCTAACAACAACAAAAAAAAAAAACACGCGCGCGCGCACACAAGTCGTTGTTTAGTAGCCGCACACACGTCATTGGCCCATTACCACGGTCGATACCAACACACACACGTGCACACATACATGCAGGAGAGCCAAGAGCCTTCCCATCTCGTACCAGAGGTAGGCTCGTCCAAGATGCAGAGAGCGGGGGAGCCCGTCAGGGCCAGCGCGACGCTGAGCTTCCGCTTCTGCCCCCCCGAAAGGTTCATGGACGGGGTGTGCTCCTTCTCCAGCAGGCCCACCTCACGGAGCTTCTTCGTTACCAGGGGCCTGGACGATCAACCATACCATCCATAAAAAAATAATTTTGTTGTTTTTTCTTTTTGTACAGACTACAGCAGCAGCAGCAGCAGCAGCAACCTTTAGACTCCTTCGCGAAAAGCATGGCTCCACAATGTTTGCAAGGGTCAGCAAGTTCCACCGCTATACACCCATTTCGTCGCGCGCATGAAAGAGTTCTTCACGTCGCTGGGTGATGGCGGTGTTCAGACGCGATAAAATCCCCTTGCGTGAGCATGATGTTGTGGATCGTCGATTCAGCCCCTCGAGAACTAAACAACAACAACGACGACGATGACGACAACAAAAACAACAACAACAACAACAACAACAACAACAACAACAACAACAACAACAGATCGGTCATGGGCATTGAGCCCGTGCAAGGAGGCTTCCCATTCTCTGGGCTGGTACCGTACATGCTGCGAAAGCAGGGTAGGGCACAAGAACAATCATTGACGTGGTCTTCTCTTTGCTCTATGGAGGGAAAAAAGGCCAACAACAACGTCTTCTGTCGTGAGCACACTTGTCGTCTATCTATCTCACCCCTTGAGGTCTGGGCTCATGCCCTTGATGTCCATGTACATCTCCATGTGTTCCCGTGCGGTCAGCAGCGGCATGAGGGCGTCGTGCTGGGGACAGATGCCGATGCTCTGCCGAACCTACGCATCATCCACCAAGTGCAACGGTACATAATCGCCAAATAGACAAAAAGACCAGACATTAATTTGTTCAGTCATTCCTTCAGACAGACACGCAGGCCCAGCCAGACAGAACGTGACAAACAAAGCCAATCCGGGTGTAGGAGCTGTCCAGGGAAGATGCCGTAGTGTGACAATATAGTGCTGCACTACCACACACGTCTTGGGGAGGGACAGGACATTCTCCGAAAACCTTTCTCGCGACAACCTAAGGCATGCGCAGCAGAGGAATCGGTTAAATCTTTCGTGTGCCACCTCTGGCTTGCAGATCTGGCTCCTCAGCAGAGACGGGCGCGTCCTCTCGTACAGTACGGTAGATTAACAAAGTACGACGCCGTGGTGGGTACAACAAGTCTTGGGGGCAGGGGGGGGGGGGCGGGACAACTACCACCGTGAGGGCGGAAAGACAAAGCGGCAGCACATAGGCGGCGCAATAGTGTGCCCGTGGGGTACATACATACTACATACATACCTTGTGCAAGTTGTCCCGCACACTGTGCCCCCACACGAGGGCATCTCCGCTGGTGGCCCCCAGTTGCCCCGTGAGCATCGAGATTGTCGTCGATTTTCCTGGGCAGCACGACGAGCGGGGGGGCGGGGGGGGAGTCACAGTACCGCGGCGTTCGCGTCGGCGATTTCCGGTCTGCCGAAGAAAACCAAACAACACTTTTGCAGGAGGAAGGTGCGGGATAGCGCTGCTGGCGGTAGACGCGTGTTGTAGCTGCTGGGCACCAAAAACTAGGGTAGCAACCATGGGTGTGAAAAAAAGTGGCGCTTAGAATATAAAAAAAACAGTACGATCCGGAGTGTGAAAAGTCGCCCTCAAATACCAAAACAAAAAACACGATATACTCCAGCAGTAGGAGGTCCGCTATTTGGCGCGCAGTTACGGCAGCTGCCAAGAAAATTATGCCCTCCTCCGCGGCAAGGCTAGCGCGAGGACAAGAAACTGCTTCGTTGCGAAACCAAATACTTCGACCCGAGCATGCAATCCACATCTCTTAAAATTGCTCCACACACAACAAGAGCGCCGCCGCAAAAGACTCGACCTCACCGGCCCCGTTGTGCCCAAGAAGACACGTGATGTCTCCCACGCGCAACCGCAGGTCCAGCCCCTCAACCGCCACCTTGCCGCCGAAACTCCTTCCTCAACCGCTTGATGACAACGCCCTCCCTTCCCCCCTCTTCTTCAGCCCCCAGCGGCTCGAAATCGGCGGCGCCCCCTTCCACCCCGACCCCCCCTCCCCGTGGCCGCCCCTCCTCCGGCGATGGAGCGTCGTTCCCGTTATCCCGGTCGGTCTGTGGGACGGGGGCCCACCCGCGGGAAAAAAAACGCGCCGGGAAACCGTACCGCGAAACCCGCCGGAAAGCGGCTCGTGGGACGGACGTGAGGGCCTCGAGCGGGTCGCGAGAAGTGCCGAACTCCGGGGTTACCACCTTTCCCGTGTGGCAACGGGACCGCAACGTCGAGAGGGCGAGGGGGGGGGGGGGCGTACTCAAGTTATACATGCCTCAGAGGTTAGACCGTTGACCACGCGTCCTCGAGAGGACGGAGCATCGTTCCCACGGGGCCAATCACCGATGGCCAAACCTATTTTGTCTCCGATGGCTCAAAACTGTTTTCCCTATCATATCCATTGATATCGGGGAGGGGGGGGGGGGACGCAAACCGGCTGGGCTGATGTGCGTAGTCACGCTTGAGTGATGATTGGACTGGATTTCTTGCTGCTATACGCTTGCGGCGGCTTCGGACACGAGGCTCGGAGATGAACGAAAGAAAAGAAAAGAAAAGAAAAGAAAAGGGGAGGGTCTATGACGATGACCGAAGCAAAGCTGCCTGTCTGTGCCCGTCCACACCGCGCACACACAAAAACCTCATCCACTTAATTCAAACAAGTAAAATGAAAGCACGCAACGAATTACGTACGGCGCGTGGCTCGAGCGCGCCACAGTAGGAACACCAAATTACGGCTCAAGGCAGTTCGGTGCGACCTAAGCTACACCCGTGGTTCCAAACATTCATCTACTACCAAACACGACCCTTGCGAGGCGCGTGCTTGACCCAACGCCTGAGTGTACGGGCGAGAGGGAGGGTCGGGCGGCACAAAACGAAAGGCAAGGAGAGATGCAGAGACAGGCAGGGAGGACAAGCCCTAGCCGTGGCCTGTGGCCCCGAATCAGGCCCGTGGCGTCTATATACAACCTGAGCGACAGCAGAGAAGGGCAAGCGACATTTCACGTCTACATAGAATACGACAGCAGTAACAAAGCAAGAAGCTACAAACTCATCACAGCATACAACTCATGTCAGCCATTGCCGCAGCGAAGGGCGTACGACACTTCCACGTCTACATAGATTATGTATGACATCAAGTCAAATAACTCATGTCAGGAAACGGGGCTAACCGGAAAAACAGGAAAAAGGTTCATTACTGTAGCTAAAGCGCTAGCATATACCTACCTTGTCCAGGTACCATGCGAGGAGGCCGTACAGCACGGCGTCGAAGAACATCATGGCGATGGAGGTGCGGAGAGAGTACTCCCCCTCGTCGTAGTTCCCCCACCCGACGCCGATGCCAGCGTACTCGTAGTCCGCGATGAAGTCCGCGCCGAAGGTGAAGGCCGCCGGGGACAGCAAAGACGCGACCGTCTTCGATCTGCCCCCCCGTCGAAAAGGACACGAGAACGAGCCAGTCAACGTCGTCTCGGTCGTCGTCGTAAAGGTGTTAGGTAGTTAGCACCGCGTGTGCGCAAGAGAACGCGTAGATCGCTGCAGGTGCCAGCAACAACGGCAACCTACAACGGCAACATGGGTTCGCAGGCCCAGTCGCACAGGCGTACCTACCGTATACTCCTGGAGTATGACACAAGATAACACACGCCCTGGACCGACTTTCATATATGTACTACAGTAGGGGCCCGGAGATTAAGAGGCGTCGGTATCAGGTGGAGGCTCAATTTTGTATCTATTCACAATCTTCGAGTAGATACAGGTTAGGGTGTTAGGATAGAGGTTAGGATACAGGTTAGGACCCTCGGGCTGAATCTGTGCTGCTCAAGATTTTCGTTTTCGCGAAGATTTTGAGCCATGTGTTGTCGACGGCATTTTGTATTTAACTGCGGACCCGCACTGCTGTATCCTGCATCAGGCTCCAAATGAGGAGAGACCCTGCACTCTCTACTCTCGGCATCTATAGTGACAGCTGTTTGGGGTGCTCGGCAGAGTGTATTGTCTACGGGGCCTCCGGGGGATACGCGGATGGTATGTATTGATGGACATGCTGCATGGCGATGGTGTGGCCTACCGCATGTCTCTCACTCTCTCAGCAACAAGGTCTTGAATCAACCTTCTTTCTCTTTCGGCCTCTGACGAGCTACCGCACCCAAACAGAGGGGTTCGACGCACCGTGGAGCCTCGTGTCTGTTCGACCCGTAGAAGATGTACCTCGGGAGTACCCCGGCGAACAACACGCACGGTGCCGCAATCGACGCTAGCTTCGCCTGTTTTGTTTTTGTCGGCGGCAGATTCAAGTTTATACGCGCGTCAGGGGGGCAGCGGTCGGAGGTGCGAATAAAAACGAACAACCATCCAAACAGAGGTCACCCTGTGATTGATGTATGCATACGTAGTCATACCTGCGCACGTGTCGAGCTCGAGCACCGCACCCGCACAAGCACAAGGTTGTTGATCCTGCCCGTGCTTGCACTCTTCTTAAGTGGCTGCGCAAGAAATATTTCACCTTCGGTTACCTTCGGAAAAAAAAAAAGAGGCCACGAATAGCACCATGCCGGCCTCACGTTCGGAAAATATTAGTCACACACCCCCTTCCCAACAAAAACTCCCCCCCCCCCCCCGAAAAAGGAAAGAAACAAAGGTCCTCCTTACCCAAGAACAACAACAAACACCCACGTCCTTCACCTTCGAAAACACAGACGACACCAAGAGCGCCATGCCGACCTCGCTGAGCGTGAAGGAGGCCATGTAGACCAGCACCAGGCTCCCGTCCGCCAGGGGTAGGAAGGTCCACGACAGCAGCGCGGCCACCGTGACGGCGATGAAGGCGAACACCGCGGCTCCAGTGATGAGCCAGGAGAGCTCGTGGCACCACACCCGGAGGCCCATGATGCGCATCGTCTCACGCACCTGTTATTGCGACGGGCCGGGAGAGAAGAGAGGGGGAGCGGCGGCGGCGGACACAGAGTTTTCGGCATAATATTTTCATGATTCGATTGCGCCGCACAAAACCACGGTTTCGTTACGGCCTTGGATTTGCCACAGGTGTTAGTGTAGCTTGTGGCTTCACCCCCCCCCCCCCCCCCCCCCACGAAACAGATTTTGTTTCTTCTAGTTCGCATACATAAACGCTCCCCGTTATCTCTGGGTTGAGCTGTTGCTCATCGCCCATCTACGGAGGCTACCGTGCCGGCCCGCTGATAAGAAACACCCAAACCTTACTTTGTATTTGTCCTTACCAGTGAGCATAAGGTTTCTAAATAGGAGTTAGTAGAGCGCCGGTCGCTATGCTCAATTTTCATATGGCAACTTTCTCACGTTTGTCAAAATCTGAGCCTCGGTTTCCTGCATTACGAACATACTTCTTACGAGCGGGCCGGCGCTGTATGACAACACCGATCAAGTCGTTGAACGCATACGCGTTTCAGCTCACCCTGCTCTCCTTCTCCTCCACGATTCCCTTTACCAGCCGAGACAGCGGATACATCGTGCTCTGGAGACGAGTGCGGCAAACAGTACGGGGCAGCCGCCGCGCGGTGATCAACACAACGCCCACCCGGAAGAAGCCGTCGGGGTGAGTGAGTGACATGGCTGTAGTGATGCAAGCACGCATTCAAATGATGGAAATCGAGCGGCATGCGGTTGCACGAGTAGAGCACTGAGTACGAACAAAGCCGTGCTGCCTGACAATATCTGCCACCGCCGCACCCCCCCCCCCAAAAAAAAAACAACAGTTTTCTCAATTGGGGGCAAAGCAAGAAACATGCAAATGGTGAAACAGTCGCCGGCTTCACGCTATCGCGGGAGGCAGCAGTCCGCGAGAGAACTAGCGCGGGGCACCGTGATCACATCGAGCGGGTCGTCAATCCCGACGCGGGTCGTCAACCCGGACGGGGTACTTACCATGGTCATGGCGAGTCCCAAGAGGTAACCAACGGCGGCATAGAACAAGTTCTGGTCGTACGCTGCCGTGGGAAAGGGCACCCCAACGACGTCGGGCGGGACGCACGCGAAACCGCCGGATGGTTCCTCGGATCCTTCCTCGGATCGTTCTTCCCCGGAGGGTGATGATGCGGCCGGCAAGGCGCGGTCGAACATGAATCGGTCGAGCGTTGTCTGCAGCGTGAGAAACCCGCTCAGGTAGTACGACCGAAAGCTGTGTCCAGTGGGATAGGAGAGGGGCGCCGTGGGTGGGGTACGAACGGGGGGGGGTGCGGGTGGGCATTATACCAACGGGGTCGGCGTTCAAGGCAAGCCAGCCGCCCGTGGTCCAAGTTTCAGGAGGTGCGAATTATTCAACCACTCGCTAGAACGTTCATAGCTCAGGTTCGCTGGTAAAACTGTGTGGTTTAGGTAGAACACCACACAACAAAAAGGCGAACGAAATTAACCGTACGTCTGTCTTGGAAGAGCCCTTTCGCAAGCGACGTTCAAAACGACGCAGCGCCGCCCGCAGCAACGCGGGAAGTACAAAAAGTAGCGGCCGGACAAGAAAACGTGTGAACAAACACCACCCTCCTCCCTGGCATCTCACCGTCCCGCCAGGAAAGGTCCGACCTACCTCGGATCCAACCCGATCGCGATCATGTCGACGACGGTGTTGGTGTTGGGAACCGTTGTGAAGTTCACGCGGATGGTGTAGTCGACCCTCCCGTCGGCCGCCTCGTCGAGCGCGATGACCGCCCACGTCCTCTCCTCGAGGTGGTCCAAGGCGTAGGCGACGGCATCGTCCTGTGTGACGAAAAAAATCCCCCCACGTTGTCGGTCGCCGGAGCGTTCGATCCGGTGTGTGTTTCGTTATTAAACACAAGACGACTTCGAGCACGTGTGTTAGGCATACAGCAGAAAGGTGAATGGGCGCCACGTGCACCTCTGCTTCGGGTATGCCTCTGTACGATATTGCCCCGTTGACGAATTGGAGGCTATGTAATAATATACAGCTCGTTCACACAACGTCACGGCGCGGTACGCTTACGTCTGATTCGTAGACGCGCAAGCCTGCTGCTCTGTACTACATTGCCCAACTACCCCCGTTGAACGATCAGCTATGAAGCTCGTTGACGGAGCGGCATGCTGCTGCGACTCTCTTACCTCTGATTCGTGGACGCGATGAGTCAAACGGTCGAACCCGGTGGTCGTGTTTGACAGCCAAGACACCAGTTCGCTGTGCAAACGCACGGAACGACAAAAGGGAAGCACGCGCACATCCCATCCGTTGGCGCGCGACAAAAAATCGGCCAGCTGTATACGTCCGTCCGTTGAACGCGCGACAAGTTGCCCAGTTGTACATACAGCAAAAGACAAAACGAACGCCTTGCGCAGGCAGGGAAGCAGTCCACATTGTGTCCCCAACATCATACCGGAGGTACGGTAGCACCATCCCCGTATCAAAAACGCCGACACGACTCACCCCACAGCCGGCTCTCGCTCAGGAGCGAAGTGCAGAGTCCCTTGGGTGATCAAGTTACCAAACACCCACCCGGACTCCATGCTGTTGACCACCGAGGCGTAGGCGTTGTCCGCTAGATCCCGGACTACGGCCGTCCCAAGCCCGACAAACTGATCGAGGTTCGGCACCGCACAAGGACCGTCCAACAGGCCGGTCATCTCCTTGAAGATGTCTCTCACGTCCCCAAACGCCAGCCCGTCGGCTTCGCCGCTACCGTCCAAGCCGCCCATGCCTTCGTCGGCATCGACGGTAGAATTGGGGGCTGCCCCACCGCCGTCTGTTGCGCTCGACTCCCCTACAGCTGGCAGGCTGGCATTCGCTGGGTTCTGATACGAAGACGGCGCACGGTGCACAACGCGCGTCGTATCGCGGTTCGATACGAACAAGGGGAGGGGGGGAAACAAATCTTGGACTGCGGGCGTGTTTCAGCTCTGATGGACCGTGCAATCTCAATAGGCAACACAGGGAAGCGCTTCTAGAAATGCGCAGGCGGGCATTTAATCAATTGCCGTTGAAAAGGCTGATATATATATATATATAGTGTAACCAACGCTATTAGGCCGACTCCTAGGAGGTCTTGCTCGGGCACCGATGCATTGCTAGAGGCTCCCTCACACCCTGCGGAGCGGAAATTATCGGAAAAAGAATGAATGCACCACGCGGAGGAGGAGGAGGTAAACCCCCAAAACAACCCAGCTGTCCCAAAGTACCCCTTGATTACCTGGCTGTAGAGGTGGGCCAATGGAAGCAGCCTGCCGAAGCCTCCAGGAAGGTCTAGCCGGACAGAAGAATACACCTTTGGATCGTAGGGGCAAGACGGCGCGTCAGCATGCACGCGCGGCTTTCGTTGGACGGCCGGACAGGTAAATCTACCCAGCGGTAAGCGTCTGCACAGCGAGCATGGGTGATGCGAGACCTTGAAGTACTCATGTTGGGGGGCTCTTTCGCAGACCCCCGCGGTGGTGGTACTTGGACCCTTGGACCAAGATACCATCTGGGCTGTCAGCGAGGAGGTGTGGGTACCATGACGACCTGTTTCCAACAGGCGAACTAATGCCTCAGCTGACTGGGCATTCTTCTAGTTGATGCTGGCATGCTCATGAGCGGACAGGTGCAACCTGTGTTGGCAGAAATGACACGTTCGCACTTGTGGGGCTAGGCGATGGATCTCCTTGCAACCCGTAATACACTTTCTTTGACATCAACAACCGATCCTGATATTTTCCCTACAACGTTATTGAGTGTCCGCGTGACGAGCCTACGCCGTCCGGAAAATGGGGTGGAAAGCACCTTAGGCGAGAGCAACGGCTCTGCCGTGTGAAATGTGCCGCGACGGGTAGGTCTGTGTACAGCTTGTCTACAGTACTGCTGTAGTGAGGAAAATCTTCATGAAAACCACATTGTCGTCGTTGTTGCGTTATTACAGCAGTAGTAGGTCAAACGGACCGCCCCCCTAGAATGGGACTCAAGACTTAAATGCCCAACGATTGAAGCACGTGTGAAATGCCCTCGTGTGTTCGAGCCTGCCGTCGAGTATGTTCGAGCCACCAGTGCACTACAGCAGTGGTTGATTAACGAACCGCGCGTGACACGCCGTGTGGGGGTGCCTTCGTGGCCACAGCCACCATCGAAAACTTTTACAGCAGCATCAACCACCCAAATCAGAGAATTATCTCCCACCATTGTTTTTCGTCAGTACGGCAGAAGTAAAAGGTTTGGTGAAGTCTGCAGGACCAACAACATCCTTCTGTCGCACACAGCAGCCGTAAAAGCGTAACGTTGAGCGACGTACATGCTGGATGGATCCTGAAGTAATCACCGCTCAGATACACCCGGAACGAGACTTGCTGACACGCACCCCCACCCACCTTCTCTGGGAAAACTAGCACATCCGATAAATAGTAGCCGTAGACCAGAACACACAGGAGAAGCACAGGACTGCAAAGCTCGCAGAAGGTTGTGCTCTTCGTTCTCCGACGCTCCTTTCGACACGATTTGCCAAGCAAGGCACCCAAGGCACCCGACAGCAGGTGTATCAAAAATAACGGGCGGACAAATTATTCAGCGGGCGGGTTTTAGGAATAGTCTATGGTACTTCCTTGATTTGTACGTCCACGCGGCAGACGATCAACAGATGGCCACGGTTTCGGACTTGACTCCTTGCTCTCTCCCTGTGCTCAGTCGAGGGAAGGGTTTGAGGGGCGAACAAGCTGCACGCGGTGATGCAGAGATACGTGTATAGCAGGTGGAGCTCAAACTGCCGCGGAATGAAACCAAACGCCGCATGTACAACCACACTTACTTCATGCTGCACACTGTCAGGTGGCAGTAGAATTTTCCACGGGCGTCTACAGTACAACAATGGCGACGACGAAAAGAAAGGTTAACACGTTCGGGCAGGTCGATTGCTATAGGCGCATGGCCCCACCGCACAGCAATGAGACCTCTGGCGTGCTGCATGCACCACAGCTGCAGCGGCCGCAAAAAGCTCACAATGGCATTCCTTCTCAAGAGCGCTGTGATCTCCGCCCCTGCGTTCGGCGCTCTGTCCTCTTCAATCTCCATGACGATGCCCGGCTGCTGCTGCTTTCATCGGTGTGCTGCTGACCCGTGGCGTAAATAAACCCGCACCCAGCGAAGAGACAGAGCGTCGGGAGCAGCAGAGCAGCAGAGCTATACAGCAGGTTGTTTGAAAAACGGTGCTGCTGGCTGCTGCTGGCTCAACAAGCAATTCGAGGGTGACGGACGGGTCAATGCGGCGTAACTACGGTATCCCCGGTCCCCCAGCCACCATAACGCACTTTCAAGGACCGGTCCTCAGATTCAGATTTTCAGCCAGCAGCCAGCCCCCTGGCCCACTTCGCGCAATTCCATCCTTGGTTGCTCCTATTTGCGCTGCAGAGGGCAACACAGCACCAGCAACATGGAAAATGCCTCTGCGCTCGCGGCCAAGCTGGGAGACATGAAGCACATCAGAAAGGTGAGCCCATCGACTTGCTCTTGCATTCGGACGACTGCTGTGAAGCACAGCGACGACACAGCCTCGTTTTTTCTGCCCCTGTGCGCACAACTCTTTTTCCCTTGTTTCGTAATTGAACCTGCCGCACAGCACCACCCCCGCCCGACGCAACGATACTGCTTTCGCCACACACGCACCTCTCCTTCAGCCCTTACTAGGCGTGGGGGACGTGGGTGTGGTATTCGTGCAAGCCGGACGATTTTTTCCTTGCTATCCAGTTGCGGCAGCAAAAGTGCCATTGTTGTTTTTCCGGGGACCCCCGTTTTCCGTCAACTACCAACTTGGTTTTAGAGAGAAATCGAGAAGTAAAATTACGTTTGTCCTAAACGGTCGTTTTAGTTGTGTGTGTGGGACGTGTGTTGCGGAGAGAGTCGGTCGGAATGTCGCACAGCGTGTGCTGGCTTGCTCGTTGGTTGTCGGTGTCGTGCTATTAACGAGAACGCGCCAGGCAGGAAGCAGTGCATGCGTGCCTTGATCCGATGAAACCTGTGCTATTGCAGAACGGAGTATTGTACGCACCAGACACGCACTCGCAACGGGCGTTGTTGTTGAAGACTACAGCAGTACACTCAACAAAGCTGCAGAGATAACCGGCGACAGCCGTGCAGCACCAGCCGTGGTTCAAGGTTTTACAACTCTTGCCTCTCGCATAAATTCTGCCTCGCGGCAGAATCCGCACCCTCCAACGTCTCGACCCAAGCCCAAGCTCGTGATCCCCGTGAAGCTTATCACGACGGGAATACATACCCCGACTAAATGCTCTCGTACGTTGTACGCGTTTCCTTATGTCATGGGGCATGGGCCTGTGCAGCATTAGATGTAAACATCGCAGTATGATGAAGGCGGGACCTGCTCGTCCGGCGGGTTTCCGCACGCTGCAATCTTGTTGGCTGCGGCGGCCTGCGCTTTCTCTCTCTCCCTCACTTCCATAGGCGGTAATTTTTCTCACACAAGTGCCTTGTGTACTGCTGTATATTGGTATTTTGGATGTCGCTGCCGCGAAGATCCACCCCCGGCATGCCCATTCCACCCATGGCGTTTATCTGGTGTGGCAAGAGCAAGCGCTAAGGATGAACCTCCTTTTGAAATGTACGCCTGGGCCTCAGCGAAAACCCGGCATTTCGCTCCGTCCCGGCACTTTAGGGATGCGAAGTCATTGGTCTAACGACTACGGCATGCGGCATGAGTACACACCCACCCACCCCCGCATGTTTCGAGCAGCTGTGCGTAGGTTACGGTTCACCGCACACAGGCGCGGGGGGGGGGGGGGGGGCTTGCGGCACGTGTGCATGGGCGGTCAGCCACTGTCCCGTTCCTATTCTATTCGCACTCGCCATGCCGTGTACATCGCCAGTACACCCATCGTATGGAGTCTGCGCTTTGATCCGGCAGTTTAGTCTCGCGTCCGCTTGTTCTTCGCTTCTCCTCTCCTAGTACGGTACGCTTTGCTTGACGTTCTTTGCCCATGAAATTAATTAACCGCATCCAATACCTGCGCGTGTACATACCTATCCACCAGGGCCTCGAGCTGGCTAAGGTCGCCCAGCAGTACGCCCAGCAACAAGGCGTCCCTCTCCCGAGTCTATCCGGCAAAGAGCAGACGATGGACGACACGATGCCCGGAGCTTTCGGCAGGACGCAAAGCCGCGGAGGCTTGGACGGCTTGCTGGAGCGCGCGTCTTCCGTGCTAGGCGCCGGGAACGGTGGCGGTGGCGGCGGCGGCAGCGGCGGCTTCGGCAACCAGGGTGGCTTCGGCAACCAGGGCGGCTTCGGCCAGGCAGCGGCGGCGGCTGCGACGGCGGCGGGTTTCGGCGGGATGTCGCACCTCGCCGGCAGGAGGGGCTCGGGCCAGCAGCAGCAGCACCAGCAGCAGCACCAGCAGCAGAACCGGTTCGGCCGAAGCAACTCTTTCGCCGGGACTTCGAGCAACAGCTTCGCGCAGCAGCCGGAGTTCCAGCAGCAGCAGCAGGGCGGGTTTCCCGGGCAGCAGCAGCAGCAGGGGTTTGGCGCGCCGGGGACGCCAATGGACTTCGGGCCGAGCCCCGGCGGTTTCGGAACGCCCGGAACTTACGGACCGCCGACTCCGCTAGCAACTCCCGGCTTCAACGGCCAGCAGTACCCCCCGGCGTACGGCGTCATGGACCCGCCGCAGTTCGGCTTCAGCGGCGCCATGACGACCCAGGGGCAGCAGGGCTTCGGAGGGCAAGCCTACGGGAGCGGGCAGCAGGGGTGGGGTCAACAGCCACAGCAGCAATTCGGCAACAACGGAGGCTTCGCGAATCAGATGTCGACGCAGCAGTCCGGGTTCGGCTCCTCGGGGTTCGGGCAGAACGGGCAACGGGGGGCCGGCGGAGGGGAATACTGGAACTCGGCGGGGGTCCTGGCCGGGGCCGGCCTGGCGGGGGCCGGCCTGGGGGCCGGCCTCGCCTCGACGTACAACAGCGCGTTCGGGAACGGGGGAGGTGGTGGCTATGCGGGCATCAGACAAGGCTACGGGAACCCCGGGGGCGCCTACGGCGGGCCGGCGCTACCCCCGCCGCCCGGGAAGGGGAAGAAGAAGGGTGGCGGGGGCAAGAACAAGGGGGGGGGCGCCGTTACCGATCAGCCGCCGCCGGGGCCCGCCCCGGTGGAGGGGTGGCTTGCCATGCCGGTCGGGTACGAGCTTCCCGAGGGCATCCCCAAGGGTTTGGAGGTGGGCTGGGGCAGGTTTTTGTTTTTTGGGGGTCGTGGGTTGGGTTGAGTCGGGGGCAGCGAGCGGGAGCGGCTTGGCGGACTTGCGTTGTGTGTCTTCTGTGGTTTTTGTCGATGTCGGGTCCTGCGTTTGGTCGTGGAGTCGCTCTCTTTGTTGGTTGGTGTCTCGAGTCGGTGGTGCAGCCATGTGTGGTTGTTCGGGTGTCTGCCTGCCTACAGAAAAACCCCACGACATTCACACGTCCCACCTACACACAGTCACCGCGCCCTCCCCCCCTCCCCCCCTACATGTTCTTTCAGATTCTGGCGATGGTGGACGGGTTGATGGTGCACCAGGAGGTGGAGACGTTGGAAGCTATCGCCAACGCAGTGGGGATCGGATACGAGGGCAACAACCAGTGAGCACCGTAGCCGCCTGCTCGTGTCGGCCGTCAAAACCGTAGCCACCTATTTCCGGCGTGTGTCTCTATTTAGCTACATGCAAGTGTGCTCGATCGGGATTGCGGCGCTACGTTTGGGTGTTTCAGCTGGAAGAACTACTGGTTGCCGAAATGCGTGTCAAATGTGTGGGTAGGCTAGTTAGTGCCTGCTATTGATGACGTCATCTCCTTGTCCCAGTGGGATCCGTCGTCGGTGGTTGTTTCGCCGAGCGTCCGCGGCCTCCTGAAGCGTTGTTTTTCTGACTTGACGATGATGCACAGGTACAAGATCAGCAATCGGGCGGGAGTGCACGTGTACCAAGCAGTGGAGGACACGGGCTTCTGCTGGCGCTGCTGCTGCACGCAGCTCCGGCCCGTACACATGAAGGTGTACGACCAGACAGGGAGTCAGGTGCGAGGGATGAGAAAACGACACATGATTGGCGAGGAGTACTTGGGAAGTATTTTATTTGTGTGGAGGGACTGAGGAATGAGCAAACGAACGCTCTTGGGGAGGATAAGCTATTATAGTGCGGAGGGGGCAGCAAGCAGCACTTCATGCACCGCCGGCGTACCGCGGGGTTGCTTGCGCTTACTGCAGTGGTTGCTTCAGCTCAGCTCAGTGGTCAGTTTCATGCCAGTTGTTGCGCTTGCATACATTAATAACACACACTCCTTCCTCACGATCTGTTCTGTTATTCCCTACCATAATCTGTACCACGACCGAACAGGTCCTGGCCTTCCAGCGACACTTCCGGCTCTTCCCGTGCGCCTGGTTCGAACCGTGCCGCGAAAACGTGACGGTATTCCACGGGCCCAAGGAGGACGGGAAGGTTTTCGGGAGGGTCACGCAGTCGTGCTGGGGGGGCTGCTGCACGCCCAAGCTCAACTTCTTCACCCGAAAAGGGGCCGGGGAGTTGTTCGTCAGGGGCCCGGGCTTCTTGGGGGATTGTTGGGGGGGGGGTTTGGATGTGCTCACGGACACCAAAAAGAGGTTAAGCTTGGGGGGGGGGGGGGGGGCGTGAACCCCTCGGGGCAATGCACTCATGCAACCCGGTATAATAACGTTTTTTGAAAACGCAATTTTTTGGTATCCAGAAGTTTGTTCCCACTAGACCGCTCCACCCTGTATTGTCGAGCACCTTTCCCCAAAGCCGAGAACCGCTTATTTTCAACCGTGTTTTCCGCACGTACACTGTGTCCGGCTTGATCAGGTTTATCAGCAGCATGCAGGGACACGAAGAATTTTCGACGCAACACATTTTCCCCCCGTTGTCTCGTGCCGTACGCTTCTTTTTTTTGTTGCCCTCCTATCTGATTACGTACATCCACGCATGCGTGCGCGGTTTTTGATGAGTTCACAACTATGGACACAGCACACAGAGTAGCGTTTTTTTGTCCCCAGGCCCGCAGGAGACAGGCCCACAGGAGACGGTGATCGACGAAATCAAGAGACGTCAGTCTCAGTGCGAGAAAAAAACGGAAATTCCTCTAAAAGCCACGGGCTGGGGGGGGGGGGGGGGGGCCCCCCGGGAAGTACATGGGTTTTTTTTTTTGGGAGGGAAAAACCCCGGGGGGACCCCCCCCCCCCCCTTCCCGGGGGT